TTTTGGTACGTTTTTTCAATTAAATAGAATATCCCCTCACCAATAATTAATATTGGTCCAGGATTCAGGATAGACCCCACATAACAGGAATTCCAATTTGGCTCTAATTTGATATTTTGGGATGCCATTGGATGCCAAATATCGTTACCGCGACAGTGGGGTCTACAAGCCGAAACAACCCGAGTCGACTTTCAGTATGGAAAAGTCTAAAAGTCGAAGTCGGCTTTTGATATTTGAGAAAATCGTGAAGTCGACTTTCGATTTTATTAACAAATATTTGTTTTATTATCATGAAGCCCAAATTGCCCAAATATTACACATTCCAGAACTTTTTTTCATGTGACTTTGCATTAGTCGGTAAAAGTCGATAATCGATTTTGATCAGGTTTGACAAAATCGAATGATCGTAAAATGGATCTTTTATTGAAAGGCAAAAGTCGAAAAGTATAAGAGTTGACTTTTTGGTCAGAGGCAAAAAATCGAAAAGTCTAAAAGTCGACTTTTAAGCTCAACTACGTATCCCATTGTGTAAAAGCAATAGGGCTGCTAGAGCACCAACAACCAAAATATATCGATATCAGTCCATGTTTTGGTATAGTCCTTATATAACGGTCCGCTCAACTTCCGTATTTTTGCCAAATTTTCCAATCTGGCTTTTTTCTCCTGGCAGCAAGTTACCACGTCATAGCGCACATATAAAGGTTACGATCGATTTTAGATATATTGATGAATGTCTATCTCATGTTTATGCGTATAATGGCGTTTTCACTTGTTTATCTCATTGTTCTTTGAATACCAAAATAATTATTTTATATAATTGTCCTTATTTCAAATCGTCACCGTTAGCACACATTTATTTTCCTTGTGTATAACAATAAGGTAGCTATAAAATATAGCTGTTATACTATACCAAAAAATGGTGAATTTGTCTAATGTCTAACAGTTATAAATAATGACATATACCAAAGCTTGCTGCTATGAAATTATAAGGTTATTGGCAACACTTGTCTTTAAGGTAGATGTCTCCGCTACGTGTGAGGCATTGGCAACTCATAACGTATATATGTTTTATAATTTATTATAAAACACTTTGTTGTGGATTGGAGACTATATGTTTCAAAATCTTATTTTTTTCAATTTCAACTTACCTATATATACTCGATAAATCGATAACAACGTCTATCATATCACAACATAGTTCATAACTTTGCATATCGACCGGTGAACAATCGGTTGCAATGTAAATTTTTGACACCACATCGAATAGAAATGCCTTTTCAATGCCAGAATTCTAAAACGGAATTTCAATTAAAAAATAATAAAATTAAAAAATATTACATTTTCTCACTTACCGATATAAAAATATTGAGCAAATTTTCTAATGTCGGCAATTGGGGTATTAGCTTTTGTACCACCTTTGAAAAGGCCTCAAATATCGAATGATCATAGATGGAAGTCAAGTGAAAACTTAAATGGATTTGCGTTAGGCCAGCATCGGCTAAATCATCGGAGGCTCGTTGATGTATGTCACGCTGGGATTCCATTTTTGTGTCATCGCTAATGCCATCGACCTGGAATATATAAAGAGATGTGAAAATTTACAATTAAGTGTTTGAGAATAAATAAGATAAAAATACACTTAAATTGTTTTATATAAAAATTAGAAAAGAAATAATAATATAGATTTAATATATACAAATTCTGTTATATGTATAAACATTAAAAAAATAATAATAATTTTTAAAATACATTTTACGACTGTTTTTGAAAATTTAAAATTGTTTAGCATTGATAAAATAAAGAAAAATAATAAGATTGCTTTTAATTTAAGTAAAATAAATTGAAAAGTTCGGGAACGCAAATCTAGTAAATATGCCAAAATTAGATGGCAATACTTCCAAAATCAACCTAACACCCAATCAGAAGTAGGCATTCCTGTTTACCATTTTTACTCGGTAAAAGGTTTACAAAGAGAACGCCATTTTGTTTTGATACATCAATTTTCGCCGCTTTCAATTGACACAGTTGCAAATAAAGTCCTTTTCTATTTGGGTAATACGGACGTCTAACAAACCGTATAAAGGTGAGAATGTGAGTATTTTTGTACGGAGCGCAATAAAATAGGTACGACCCTAATGACTTATTATATAATTTTTGTCTAGTTCAACAATTTTGTTTTATCCCATATCCTACATGCAGATAATAAATTCCTATTATCAATTATCTGAACATTGAACTCTGTAATTAAAACCGTAAGTTCCCCCGTCAATGTGTCACAAACAATATTGAGGGAAAAAAGACATATTTATGAAGCCATATAAGTGCTGTTGATTTGCATTGTTATCAACAGTACATGAATTGTATGGTTGTATGTTCATATTACCAGGCCAGTAGATTATAGTAGACATGAAACTGCAGGGCAAACAAAGGTTTTAATCGCAATGAACAACATTGATGTGTATGTAAAACATACCATCTAATAAATTATATGGCAAAAACAAATTCCAATAAATGCCAATTTTTGTCTTACTGACTGACACTACTACTGGCACTTTCGAACTTCCAACATCATATATTAAATTTTGCGATCTCTATTATGATTTAAAAGACACACATCGAAATAGGAGACGCCATAAAGTATAAAGAATATTCTATGTCGATTTGTACATGTCCGTTTGTTAAAATCACGATATAGATTGCAATATTTGAGATATAGCTTTGAAATTTTGCAAATGGGGTATATCGGTCCACGTTTTGGTATAGCTCCCATATAACAATAGGATACGCTAGTATCCTCTACATGACGCCAGGTTGTAACTTCTTGAGGAGGAGTACTCACATTAGTGATTATGTTCCCTCTCATAGAGATTTTAACGACTTCAGAGTAGAGTTTCCTATTAGGGAATCCTGAACTAGTAGATCTTTGCTTCTGTCAGGTCTTCAAAAACGGCAAGATGGAGGAAGGCACTGGTGCAGGATCTTTGAAGCGTTTTTCAAGCAGAAGTCCTTGCAATCGCGAAATCGGCCGAGATAGTCAAAACACTTACTGCCGATAATACGGGACCGGTGACTATATATGTCGATAGTCATGCGGCATTCAAACACAAAGGCAGTTCTTGATTGCAAGGCTGCTCTGTATTTTATATGACGGATAGTTAATTTATGTTTGGTTCCAGAACAAAGCAACATAGAAGGGAATGAGATAGCCGACGAGTTTGCTCGAGGGGGTTCATAGTCGTCCAATCTTCCGATTGAGAGATCTTGGCTATTTCATTGGCAAAATCCGCTTGATCTACGGCGAGGTAGTCGGTAACAGATGGTCAAGAGAACCTGGTGGCAGAATCTCGAAACATATCTGGCCTGAATTCTCTCGCCGAAGAACTTCTTCGCTGTTGTCACATAATAAGAGGGAGAGATTAAATCATTGGTGGGATCAAAGCAGGTCACTGCAAGTTTAGATCCCTCACTTCGAAATGGGATTCCAGCGGAGAGGATTACTGTCGTCTATGTGAGAACGAAGAGGAGCTAGAAACAATTGAACATATCCTCTGTAGATGTCCATCGCTGAGTGGCCGAAGACACAAACAGTTTGGAAGATATGCAATTGATAACCTAGCTTTCTTCTCCAAAATAGACCCCAATCAGATCCAAGACTTTGTTTTAAATTTTGGCATGGCTAAAATAACCACTTTCTGGGCACTCCAACTATTTTTTTCTGTCTTCCATTCTCTTTTCCTTTTCTTTTCAGGTATCAAGGATGATCACAATGGACAAATGACTCCGAGTGAACGGTTGTAATTAGCAACCGTACATCCCCAACTTAACCTATCAAAGTAGCTCCCATATAATCGTAACCCCCATTATTCGGCATTTTGGGGGTTTTAACAAAGGTTTTTTTTACAGAATTGGCCATAAGTTTCCGATGGGGTGTCAAATCCACTAAACATCATCAATATTGGTTATTTTTTATATAATCCCCCATATAACGACGCTACATCACAAATTTCGGTATTTTTGGATCTTATCTCTTATTTTCAAATGGAATTTTAGCGGGAATCTTCTCTATAATACACTTTTATTAAATATAAAATAAATCCAAGCACTTGATTCTATCGATTGTTGAATAAATTATTTTAAAATCCACGCATCATAGACTTTTATAGAAATCGTTATTAACAAATAAGCTCCTCCTCCATTGATCTTCTATGGAAGATCATTTATATACAGGTTACATTTATACAATTCTATTAACTCTTCTAAAACTTTACAAAATGTGTTCAAAATTTTATTCTGCTGCCGATGAATAGAAACTCCATTCCATGGTCTTATATAAAGGAAATGACTACCATAAATGGACAAGGCTTTCTACAAATCATTTATATTTTATATCCCAATGTTATCCTATTAGATAAAACATTCATTAAATAAATTACACTTTTAAGAAGTAATTTTTACAAACCGAATCTTTAATTCCTCTAACAAACTCCTCTCAATCAATTAATTCCTATTAACAACATCTTACATCTCTGCAAATACGACAACTTAAAACTCAACTGTCACACTGTAAAAACTATCAACAACAGCAACTCAATTTTACATTAAAGATATCACATTACATTCTCCACCTCCATAACTCACCACTGACTGACTAACTGACTGCCACCAAACACTCACTTACCTTATGTATAAAAACTTCAAATTTAATACGCGGATTAACTTTATATGCCTTTATGACGGTATTCTTAAATTTCGTCAACGCTTCGTTGTAATCATCCTTTGCATCGATCACGAACACCAACGATCCACAATTACCAAATATCATATCCGAATCGAATGTGGGATCAATGAAATCAATTTGTCCCGGAAAATCCCAAATTGAAAATTGTACAAAACTTGAATTGTTAATATCGTCTTTGACAATTTTACTGGTCGATTCCAGGAACAGTGTTTCGTTGGGTGACATCTTATGGAAGACAACTTTTTGTATTGAAGATTTGCCCGAACGTCGTAGACCCATTAAGAGAATACGTGGCTTAGAATCGGCATCGGAACCCGTCATCCCTGACGAATCCAAACCATCCTGATCGAATGCACCATAACCATATTCCTTGGGAAAGGTATCCACATGATAGTCATCGTCTTCGTAACTCTACAGAACAGAACAGAGAAAAAGAAAAACCCAACAATGAAAAATTCGTTTTTCTTAATGCGTAGCAGCAGCAACATCTGATATGGTGGCCCAGCGTTTTCATACGATGGGTGTTATCATCATCATTCGCACTGCAACAATTTTTTCCGGACCATTCCTTCTTACCATTTTGACAGAGCTTGTGGGATGTCAATCTTATTTTACACTGCAGGCATTTAATCTGTTTTTTTCTCGTGCGCTGTTTTGCTTTGTTGTGAATCGGGTATTTATGTTGAAATGTTTGTTTATTTATATTTTTTCAGAGTAGTTTTTGTTCAATCACCTGAATATTTTTGAGATATTAGAGATGGTCGAAAATCGATTGGAAATTTCGATAGTTTTCTGATTTGCGGTAACACCGATAAATAGTTAATACTATCGATAATAACGGTTACTAGCTAAAGACTTAAATAATGTTTATACGAAGCAAACAAGCTTATCTATTTTTACATTTTTAATGGAAATTTGTCCTATGAACCTCGGTCTCATACTGTTAAAATTGAAGTAAAATAAATAAATATGTAATGTGATTTCTTTCACATATTAATTTAATCGCGTGGTTTTGAGGGGGCACAGTGATGCTGTCACAAATCCTCTGTAGAGATTTGAATAGGCTTGACGGAGGAACTGCATCCGAAACGGCAAAAGTTCTATTCAGGCTTATTTGATATGTTTGCTGGTATTGAGACTATCTTTAATGCCTTTAGACCTCTCATACTAAATCGTACAAATTTCTCACGACTGGGCGGGTCACGTCCAACAATATGATGTTTGGGATTACACCCTATTTAAATTTTCGCTTAAATGCAAAGAAATGCATTATATAATCGCAATTATTGGTCCATTTGAATATAATAGTAAATTAGTATTATCCCATACTGCAAGAATCAATGGTACAATAAAAACAGGTAGGTTAATGGTACATGCTGATTAGATTATTTTCTTTTGCGTGCACATGTTCTGTCAAAACAAATGGTCTGTTCCCATACTGCAAGAATTTGCTAGATTTTACTATTTTCTTCGATATTGTTAAGTAAAATTCAATTCCATTGCATATACGTCAAATAAATCCTCAAGAAGTGGGATAATCTGGTAAAAAGTTTGTATGTATACGCCGTTTAATGTCTTGAAGCGGACAAAAATATATAAAATATTTTCAAATTCAGAGGTAATTAAAATTTAACATTACAGCATTTGAGAGTAAAATCTTTCAATGTTTTGGGAAGAAATATTTTTAGAATTATATTTGAAAATATGACATTCCATTCATTTTTCGTGATATTTTCCTTATTTAGTAAAATTGTAAAAATGTGTCAAATAAACATAACAACATGTTGAATATGTTTATGTAAATATGACATAATAAGACATTACACTAGACTACAATTTTTGTTAATATCGTCAAGTAAGACTAACTATTGTTATTGTACCATATAAGAATCTACCAATTTTTACTATTTTCTTCGATATCATAAAGGAAAAATTGTTATCGTAGTAAAGAATACAAATTTCTTGTAGTATGTTCCAGAGTATACCATTATTCGAAAATAATTTCGATTCCCACTTTATAAATTTCAAAAGTTTTTCCACTTTTTGAGTATGGGAACACACCAATAGTGAAATAATACAAGGTAAAAGGTAGAATTGAATAACATAAAGCAACTGTGTAGGTGGTGGCTTCTTCTGTCAAAATATTAAATAAATAAACGCAACAAATAGTTTTGTTTATTTGACATGAATGAATGAAAAATTATGATTTCTTTCCAAAATCCAGTAGGGAGTACCAAGAAATATTTGTTTCATCCATAACAAAGGGAAAATGAAAATAGATGACACAAAAAGTATTTATATAAAACACACATTTTAATTTTCTTAAAATATATATAAAATGAGTTAAAAAGTTGTTAATTGTGAAAGTGACAAATTATTGGTACTAAGCGAATAATGTTTATATAAAGAAACATAACAAAGAAATGGACCTATGTCCACTAAGTTTTCCAATGATATTTTGCAACCCATACGCAACAATGTTTACTATTCATTATATTCACTTTTAAAGGGAAATTTTTGTAAAATTAAAAAAAAATGAACCCAAAATATTCAATTCGGTTACCAAACGTGTCCAGGAGCCCTAAAAATACCAAAATTTAATAATTAATAATTTTTTATGGACAATTCAAAAAATTTATTAACTTGTTTCTATTTACAAAATTGAATATTGATCGAGGTTTTAAAAATATATGGTCCGTTCCCGTACTGCAAGAATCTTCAAGATTTTACTATTTTCTTCGATATCGTAGTAAAAAAATAGTAGATTCTTGTAGTACGGGAAAAGACCAATAGATGGCAAAGATGACGAGATGATAGATGGAGGACATAAATTTTATAGATGACAGCCAGTTAAAATGACAGCCTCTAAAATATGATTTGTGGGAATAAAGGGGAAGACAAAATGATGATTATGCCTAGATAATCTACTATTGGTCTGTTCCCGTACTGCAAGAATGTACGAGTTTTTACTATTTTTTTCGATATCGTAAAGGAAAAAAGTGTTATCGTAGTAAAAAAAGTAGATTATTGCAGTACGGGAACATACCATTTTATGATATCGAAAAATTAGCAGATTCCTTCAATACGGGAACAGGCCAATAGCCGCTTTTTATTTAAATTTCCGAATTAGCTGTGATTTTTCCTTTTCACGAACCGCCCAAAGCCAAAAGGGTTATTGAATTAATTGTCTATTGAAATAAGCCAAAGTATTTATTAGAAAAATAAACATAATACTTCTGCAAATCCGAAACAAAATACCAATTAAAGTTCTTCAATTGATGGAAACGTTCTCAAATATCTAAGTGGATGATTGTTTAAAGGTTCACATTAGATAATATACCTCTTTGGAAATATGGATTGATATTAATCCATTTAAAAAATAGATTAATATCAATTAATTAAATTTATATAATCTGTGGATAGTAGACTCACTTTATTTGTGATTTTCAAAATTCTTTCTCGTTTTATTTGTATATATCTTTTGCAGATTTTTACCAGATATAATACGTCTTCGAGTTCTATTTCCGCTTAAAAATGATTCAGAGTCGGCATTGAGTTTTTCTTTATTATTTCGCTAAATCGTCTCATACTTATAAAGACTACAATAATTGGAGTTGAGACAGTTTATGTTTAGCAGCTATTATTATTTTTGGAACGTATCTATTCGGCCATATTGAAATTTTTATATCTTGCACTATTGTTCGCTTTCTCTTTCAAGAATATTTTCATTGCCCTAATGTAGTTATAGTCACGAGGATATCCGTTCTTTACGTTCGGGCCCGTTTCCTGTTTTAAAAATTATTTCTATACTGCAAAATAAAATTTTTATTATTTCTGATATTTTGGAGATTCATTAGGTGGAAAATCTATCAAAAATTATCAATATCGGTAAACTTTTAAGCATATCCCCATGATACGGTACCTCACAACTCTCGATATTTTTATGGATTTGGACACGTAAAAAAATCTCCCTAATAAAATGATCAATATTGATCATTATAGCTAGATAACAATTCAATTTTGTCAAACCTGAAAACAAAAGTTGTCAGTGCAGGTCTAGTTTTTTTATAGTCCCTCTATAACAGTACCCCCTGTTGCCGGCATATTATTTTGAACACGTTTTCCAAAAGAATTAGGTGTCATTATATATTATGGATATTATTGGTTTCAAATGGGAATAGGCCTAAATATTCCTATCAAATTGCATTATTTGTCCATGGTTATTCATATCTTTCTTTTTAGGTAAATATTAATTCGTAGCACGAAAGCACTGTATAGGTATTCGTAGTGTGTTCTAGAGGACTCCTTTCAGTACTGAGTGATCAAAACATACAATACCTTATTTTGGTCTATAAAAGTAATTTTACAAATCGTTTTCGTCCCCTATAAATATAGATAAAATACTCTGTACCGCTCTATTATATTCACAAATCTTATACCGGACATTATTCAATAGATTTTTATGGACAAACTATCTTCAAAATCTCGTCAATAACATTTTGAATGTCCTCTACAGGTGCAAGGCCGTCATCTTCTAGATTATTTTCTAAAAACTGAAGTAATTTAGGTAGACCTATTGTAGGTTCCATTTGACCTCTCGGTGGATGACATTGAAAATATCTTGTTCCCGACCTTCTATTTTTTTTTCTTTTAAAAACATGTTTTTCACAGACATTTACATGGGTCCTTTTAAATTCAAGACGTTTTTCCAAATATCAAAGATTGTTGTTATCCGACACACTAATTGTAAATATCAAACATTCGTTTCAATATCAATTACTAATTTATTATTTGTATTAAAACTATTTAGAACATCAAAAATAATGGAACAATCTTTAACAAATTCACACACTTCACACAGCAAACGGTTGATCTTTGCCATCTTCATGATATTTAATATAGGTTTCGCCGTGTGTAAAATCTTTTGTACCCTCCAAACGGCCACGAGGCGGTGCCTTGGTATAATCGAATGCCTTCTCCGATTTACCAAACATACGATTGGCTTCCTCAATTTGATCACGATATTTACCAACTACTACCGATTTGCCGGTAATAGGATCTGTTATGTCACCAAGTGGATAAACAACTTTTTCCACTTTATGGGTAATAAGTCGGGTCAGACGTTCGGGTAATTCACGTATCAGAACAACATCACCGGTCTTGCAAACCTTCTCGGGATCGTGGGCAAATAGGAATTCATCTTTTTTGAAATACTGTAAAGAAAATATTGTATGGGTTAAAAAAACACAAGAATTCAGTGTGGTGATTAGTTGATGACTATACCATATTCAAATTCTTGTCCAATTCCATGCGACGTATCCGGATTTTGGAGGCATTAGCTTTGACACAGGGCATACATTGTCCCAAGAGTAGTAAATTTCTGGCTGACATAATTTTTTATTGAAAATTTGTGTGGTTTTTGTTAAGAAGATTATGAAAATCTGAAAAACTGCAAAAAAGCAAAACAATGTGAGAGTAGAGATGGTAAGTTATTGGCCTTTATCGTTGGAATCGAAAGTACTCGGTAACTATCGATAACAATGATTTATTTGTTGTGTTATGTTTACAGAGGATAAGTTATTAATATATATGAATGTACCTTATTTAAAAGGTGTGGTATAATAACACTGCAACACAAAAAATAATTACCGGGAAATTCCAACAGATTATGAAAGAGCGGCTAAAAAAGGAAAATACTTGTATCGGCGTTTTGAAAGTTTATGTCGGGAGGTAACCTAAAAAGGCGAGGCAATATTCCCCCTTTTCAAGTATTTTGATAATTTTCGAAATATGATTTCTTGAAATCTTTGCATTTTAGGTATACAGTGTCTTCGGTAATATTACTGATAAAATACCGAGGAATATTTTGGTATACAACTTTAACCCTAAACCGATACTTTGAGGGGGTCTTTTCGGTCCCCTTTTCCGGAAGTGATTTAAAACTCATTCAAAACTGGGTTAAAGCTGCTCAGAATATTCTACAGAAATGTTCGCCATTAAGTTTTACTATAAGTCTCAGAATAGACTAACACTCAAAAATCAGCATAAACGTCAAAAATCTTAAAAACACAAAAACACATTTTAGGGTTAAAATCGCACTTATTACTAGTTTTTACCCATATTTCCCACAAGATGTCATTGTAGAAGGATGGTATAAGGAACCAAAATATTCTCCATCAATTTTTAGCTTTATTCACTGAACAAGGGAAATCCGTATATATAATGTATATATATATATATATACAGTGAGCAGCAAAAGTCATGGTACCCCATACAAATCAAAAAATATTCAGTAATTCCTCAAAAAGTAATTCACAAAATTTCAAATATATATTTTTATTTCATGTATTCAAACAATATATAAAACAAAATCGACATAGTGCCAAATCCATATTTTTGCACAGCATAAGTCTTGGTACCCCTGGAGAAAAATAATTAATTTTTACAATTAAATTAACTTACCTAATATTTGGTAGGATATGCCTTGAGTTTTAAAACTTCATTCAATCGTTCGGGCATTGAGTATACAAGTTTTTTAGTGCAGTCCGAGGATGTTTTACCCCGTTCTGTCACAAGTATTTCTTTGAGTTGGGCCTTACTGGATATTGTATGATCTCCGATTCGTTTATCGTTTATCTCCGATTCGTTTATCTGATCCCATAGGTTCTCAATCGGATTTAAATCGGGACTTTGTGGAGGTGTTATCAGCATGTGTGGTGTATTGTATACGATCCAATTCTTAACGTCAATAGCAGTGTGTTTTGGATCATTGTCCTGTTGGAAGCATGGTATAATAATAGAAGGTCACAGCAAGTGTTGTTGTACAACAAACGATAAAACAACCAAATGGAAATTTGTTTTTGTAAGTTATACTATAACGTCATTTGACAGAAAAATGTAAACAAACAAATAAATTATATTTATTTTGAAAATAAAATATTTTCGAATCCTAAAAATAAAATTTGAAAAACATGAATGAAAATCTATCAAATTTATATTTCTATCGCTTCCACATCTTTCCTATGATTGAACTATGGCCACTTATATGTGTAACACATATGAAAGTGAAGGGAATTGCGAGTTATTCAATGAAGAAAGATTTCCTTCCTCAAACTTTCCCAACAGGCAGATTGAGTAAAATGAATACGGGAGTACATTTAATAAAGAACAATTTCAAATTGTATGCGTTCCCAATTTTCCTGTTGGGTGATTTTTAAAAACATAATTTGTCAAATTCATATTGACACTAGTATTACGTTGGAATCAAACCAGCTGGGACTTGCTGTTACCTTTTATAATTGTACCATGTGTTGGAAGTAATAATTATCACGAATGTTGAGTTTTTCAGCACTTTGATTCAAATTATGTTTCAAAATATTCATGTAAACTGTTTTATTCATTATTTCCCCCATGGATACCAAATATCCAACACCAGTTGCTGACATGCATCCCCATACCATTACTCCACCACCTCCGTGCTTTACTATTTTCCGAGTATTTTTTGGATTGAGCTCTTCGCCTTTTTTCCGCCACAACAAAGAGCGTCCATCCGACCCAAATATGTTAAATTTTGTTTCGTGCGAGAAAATAACTTTTTCCCAGAACTCATTTGTCTTGTTTTTATAATCATTTGCAAAATTGACTCGCTTCTTTCTGTTTGTTTTGTTAACAAGTGGTTTTTTGCGGGCAGTGCGAGCATTGAAACCACACTTATTGATGCACCTACTTATTGTGTCTGCTAAAACTGATTTCCCACATGATTCTTTTAAGACTGCAGCGATTTTAGGAGCGCTGCTAAATGGATATTTTTTAATAATATATTAAATTTTTCGTTTTTCTCTGATGTTGAGCTTCCTGGGACGGCCTTATCGAGTTTTATTTTCAATTATATTATCTTTTTTGTATCGATTAACCTCGGTGGAAAGAGAGCACCCAGTAATCTGTGCCGTCTGTAGGCCAGGACTGGGCAGCGACACAGGAAATGCTCAATTGTCTCCGTCTCCTCCTCGTCACCTCAGAGTCTACAGTAATCAGTAACATCATGGTCCCATTTAGAGGTAAAGGCCTTGATATTGCACTGACCAGTAATGATTCCTGTCATTACTCTTATTATAGCTTTGCCCAGGTTCAACAGTGAGTGTGCAGACAGAGTTGGCCAAATAGATCTTTACACACTGCACCAAGGTTCGTTGTACGAAAGTTTATAGGCTCTTTCGTCGAAGAACGCCTCAAAGTTCCGATAAATATGACATATGGGTGGTTTGATTAAGCCATCAATTGCTAGATCTGTAGATTGAGATCCTCGTGTAGCTAATTCGTCTGGTCTTTCATTACCCATGATATCACGGTATCCTGGTACGCAACACAGCCGATAGCTGTAATTAAGTTCTTCCAAAACTGTTCTACACTTAAGGACGGCGTCGGATTTGATGGCTTTAAGAGCCGCTTGAAGATCCACAAAGATAGTCCACAAGTCTGCATCCAGACTTTTTATCAATTCCGCTGCCTTTCAAATCGCGAAGATTTCAGCTTTTAAAATACTACAGTTGCTATCCAGCTTGTAGGTAAGCTCAAGGCCTAGCCTTTCACAGTAGAGGCCGGCCCCTGTACCTTCTTCCATCTTGTATCCGTCTGTATAGAAAGCCAGACCGTGCAGAGGAGGGTTACTCCGGTTCCAGTCTCTACTTGTAATAATAACATATACTCGACAAATTTCAAGACTGGTGCTATATAGTCGCTTAGTTTTACGCGTTGGTCCAATGTCATACCTGGTTCGTCCAAGATACAACAATGCCCAAAGGTACAACTTCGCCAAAGAATTTGTTCATGCAGCCTTAGGGCACTACGCTCGGCCTATCAAGCGTAATTGAGTCGTATTAAAGAGAAGTACACAGGAGTACAAACTGCTACAACAACAAGGGACTCGCAGCCACTATAATTTTCATCCAGCGAGCTAGAGGCAATTATCTCCAAATCCAAGCCACTCAAAGCCCTTGGTCCAGACGTCATATCTATGTTCATGTTAAAGAAGCATGGCATAATTGTGCTGGGTTATCTGACCAACGTTCACGAGTTATCGATGTCACAGTTGGTAATTCCTGATATTTGAAAAATTACCGGATTATTTTAATTCTAAGACCTGATAAATCCGCTACTAATGGGAAATTCTACCGCCCGATTTCTCTTCTTTCACCAGTAGCCAAAGTTTTAGAGTAGCTATTGCTTCCGTCCCTGAAACAACATTTCGTTATTGCTACACACCAACACGGTTTCAGGGAATCATATAACACAACTAGGGTTTTGCAAGAAATTACTTCCAAGATTGTGAATAGCATCAATCAGCGACGACTACCTGAACGGACCATTGTGGCCGCCTTAGATCTGTCCAAGGCGTTTGATACGGTCGATCATTCCGAGCTTATATCCGTCCTCACAAATTCCAGCCTCCTGAGTAATATCAAGCGTTGGCTTGCCAACTACCTTAATGGGCGGCAGTCCTTCGTTGAGTTTGCGTGGCCAAAAATCCAAATATTGCAAGATCAAAATGAGAGTACCGCAAGGCGTTGTCTTATCTCCCATTTTGTTCAATATTTATCTTGCGAAACTCCCATTTCCTCCACCAGATGTTTCAGTGGTGTCGTACGGCGATGACTGTACGATTATTTTGTCCTGCGTTAACATTGACGACGTAAATGCAAAAATATCCAACTATTTAGCAACCATCACCAACTTCTTCCCGGAGCGCAATCTAAAATTATCCACTGCAAAGTCTACTGTCATTTTTCACTTCCTGGACGCAAGAAGTCAATTTATAACTTGACAACTTGAAACTTCTGCTACAACATCCTCCTGCAATTTCGGAGAGTGAGAGGCTTCTAGACAAATCCGTTCAATTGTGGCACAACTAAGGTCCGGCAATGTTCTCAACTCGGATCGAGAGCGTGTTGTCCCCGGAACCCTTAACAGGTGCCCCTCCTGCCAGCAAAGCCCTCACGATACACACCATATATTCAATTATGCGTTCGAGCCTACAAGTCTTTTGCCTACAGACAACAACTTCTCTTCAAATCCGAATTCCTAATTAATATATTTTCCTTCCTCCGGGATTCTATCAATATTCTCAGCAAAGAACAACAACCAATGACGCACACGAACATGTATTTGTTGAGGTGGCAGCCTCTGGTCGAAGTCCATCTCCAAGTCAATCCGATACATTGAACCAGCCGCCGTGGATTTGGGTAATTTTATCGAGTTATTTTAACCGAGGATTGTGCTACGTCGCATAAGTGCACTCCGGAGTTGAGTACTTAACATCAGCCCTCAATTTGTCGTTAACCACCCACATAGTTCCTGAAGCCTGGAAAATAGCCAGGGTGGTCCCGCTACTAAAGCCTGGTAAGAATGCCAGCAGGGGTGAATCGTACAGGCCGATTTTACTCCTGTCGGCGGTAGCAAAGACACTTGAGGCGCTACTCCTCCCATCGTTGAGAAGCAATTTTCCAGTTGTCAACCAAAATGGATTCCGTAAGATGCACAGCACGACACGCCATTACCACACATATTAGCAGAGGACTCAACCAGAATAGGCCGTGTAGCCGAACAGTTATGGTGGCTCTTGACCCATCGGCTCTTGGCCTTCGATACCGTCAACTATGCCAAGCTAATCGAAGATATGTGGACGCCAGTCGTATGTGGAATTCAGAAACAGGAAGTCTAAACCTCGTAGAGTGAAACAGGGAGTTCCCAAAAGAGGGGTGATATGTCCGAAACTGTACAACCTCCACCTTTCTGATATTCTACAACCACCAGATGGCATAGAAATCGTAATGTATGCGGATGATTGTACGATCATGGCGTAGGGTACCATTATTGATGACATAAGTGAGAGGTTAAACTTCTACATAACCGATCTTGTTAATTTCTTCCTTCTGAGGAATATGAAAATATCCGCCACAAAATCAACAGCCACACTGTTCACCACAAGGACGACTGAAATGCAGCTCCTACTGAATATAATGGTCGATGGAGAAATGATTCCGACCACCAACTACCCCCAAGATACTGGGAGTAACGTTCGACAGCCTTTTCAAGTCATCTGCGCAAGCCACTGCTTTATGCGATAAGCTGAGAAGTATCTTGAAGAGTTTTACGTGAGTACCTGCCAATAGGCCTACCTCACTGTGGCTGAGCCACAGGCGGAAAAGCGCCCACCAGCGCACCAGCACCGAAGTACTGTACCAATTGGAGATCATGCAGAAGGCACACTCTCCCCCTTGGTGAGGGGCGAAACCACAACCCCCGCGAAGCTCCCCAAGAGGCCACACCAACTGTCAGGCTGGATCGACAGATCCAGGGGAACCTGACACCCGCGGTACGGAAAACCTCTGCTCAGGCTCGAGACCGAAGCCTCTCGCAGTTTGACGCACATCCGGGCTGGTATCCCAAAGCAACAATAAGCATCGGCGATAACCGCAAGTGGCAAGGAAAAACCTGGCCACAGGCAGTGACAAATACACAAATCACAAACAATTAACATGCTGTCCTCACGGACTGCACAAAGGGCCAAAGGACCGCGGCATCGGACATCACAACACAAACAATGAACAAAACTGCCCTCACGGACAGCCTACACTACATCCACATGACGAGTGAAGCACATGAAGTGGAAACCACGAACCACCCACGATGCACAGACAACCGCAGGCAGCACGTACACCACCTACAACCGCCGATAACCGCACCAAGACCAGCACCGCCACCCGGTGCAACCGACCAACCCAACTGCAAGAGGGCTATGCACGAGGACCACCTCCGCTAAGTACTGTCCTTCTCCTGTCCTGTCCTTCTCCTAAATGCTTCACGAGCAAAACTACTTAAACAAATAAGGTCCGATCGTCTTCAAGTGCCCTACAGAAATCCCACCCCTCCATTCGATATACCCATACTTGTTAAATCTCTAATGTCATCATAGTAACAGCATTCCGTCAGTATATGCTTCCAGTCCTCAGTCATCCCGCACCCACATACATCCGTCTGGGAAAAGCGTCTCTTATGCAGAAAAGCATTGAGAGAGCCATGCCCCGTCAGTAAGAAACCAGTACTTAAGCCGAAGCGAAAGTCTGACCGGTCCACTACGAACGTTGCGTCACGAATAAATTCGTACGTCACCCTCCTTTTGTTACTGTTTGCCCACCTTGTCCTCCACCTATCAACAAAACAATCCCGAAGGATAGTGCTGTACCGCCTACTCTCCCCATCCACCAAATCAGAAGGCCTGAGCCAATCATCCTCATCCAACTGCAAACCACGCTTAAGCTTATACATGATAGCCCTATATCTCACTTCAAGATCAAGCGGCGCGGTGCCAAGCAGCACCTGCAATGCCTCTGTTGAAACAGTGCGACACACTGGCAAGCTTCCTCTGCCCGAAGACAGAAGAGGCAGTTCTGTACCATATAGGTGCACCATAAGTTGCGCAGGCAACAAAAAGCCCACCATATATGATTCGCACAGAACGCCTACTCAAGCCCCAATCAGTCCGCAAAACACGCCTGATGGTCCCAACAACCGTTGTCAGCTTCTCCTTCAACCGATCGAAGTGTGGAAGAAAATTCAAACGCTCCGACACCGTTATCCCGAGATACATGACAGTACACGAATACCTTATGCCGCGTTCACCAGCTCGAATGCAGAAACCTTGTTGACCTCTTATAAAGCCATAGGCCGGTCAGTTGTAAGCTATGCGGCGCCAGTGTGGTTCGCGAATGTTAGTGATACGCAGTGGGAGAATATCCAGACCTGCCAGAATGCTGCCCTGAGAACTGCAACAGGGTGTCTCCTCATGAATGCTGTGAACCATTTTCATGAGGAGACTAAGATCTTATCCGTCCATCGACACAATTACATATTGTCGACGCAGTACTTGCTACCCATTTTAACTAACTCCATTATACAAAATAAAACACACAATATTTTATATTTCAAAATTCTCTAAATAATTTCATTAAATAAATATTGTTGTTGTTGTTTTTTTTTCAAATAATCAATTATGATTATTTATATAGTAATAATTATTATTATTAATATTAATTATAATTTGTTTTATTTAAAATTAACGTTAATTGTTTTGTTTCAACTATGTTCTACAGCAGTGAAAAAATTATGCTATTTGTTCATAATAATTGATAATAACCTCAGATTGGGGTTTGCCCCCCAAGAAAAAAGTATTTGAGGTTATGCGTAAAGTGGCAAAAATCAATATAAAATAAAGGGGGAAAATTAAAAATAATTGTTCGATAATTGTTTTGATTTGTTCGTATTTACAGAATTATGGTGGCTAAAAAAAATATTTTACTAAAGTAATTTTGTGTTTTTGCTTAAAATTGATAAAAAACAAAATCATTAGTGATTGTTTCTTCTATAAAAAAAAAAATAATAATTTAGTGATAGTATATAAATGGTAAAATTGTCTTTTTGTTGTGTAAAGTTGTAATAATAGGGTTTTGTTCTTGTAGTTGTTGTCGTGGTTTTTTAATTAATTTGATGCAGCTGGAACAGCAGCAGCAGCTTTTCTGGATTAATCACAATCTCTTAGAATTCTAAAATTGTACTGCAATATGGAATTGGTCTCATGGGGTTTCTCTTGGCATACATTTGTCTGAAAAAAAAATGAATTAGATTTTTTTTTAATAAAATTAAAAATATGGAGGTGTTCCCCTTACCTTCTCCGGATCATTGGTGGCACGTAAAATTAAATCTTTAACAAAATAACCCCGACTTGGTACATTCAGCACCAACAGCGAAGTGTTGCGTCTTCTTTCCAGCACATTTTGCGTTTGATGGTTGATGTGGTGATGCGCCGACAGACCCGGTTGGGAGGAATTTATTAAATGTTTACCATTTTGTTTGGAATGTTCGTGGAGGTTGCAAACAACCCATTGTAGGGGTAAGGAAGATCTGTAAAATAAAAAAAAAAATATTTTAATTAAACCTATTTCTTCAGGTGCCTCTAGATTTACTTACGTTAAATGCAACTCAATACTCTGCTCCTTAAAGAAACGCGACAATGGTATAACATATGTCATATTCACCGAATTTCCCAGCTTCGGACAAAATTCATTAAAGGCAAATGTATTATTTAAACGTTCGGCCAATATACAGTTGCGTATTTTCCAACAATCTGCATTACCCGGAGGACGATTTGGTTCAACCGATAAATTTGCTGATCCCTCATCAAGTTTATCTTGAGTTTTTATTTTCGATTCAACATCTAGGTTTTCATCACTGAAATTGTGTTCCAATATTGCATCCAAGTTATCCCCCTCTGATTCGGATTGTTGCTGTTGTTGTTGATCATCGGAATTAAGTTCTTTAGCTAGAGCCTGAGTGGCATGTGATGTTTTCCCCTGGAGTGGTGTTAGCAATGAGGCGTTAAGTGCATCTTTTGTTTTATCTGGTAAATCGCTGAATGCCGCCTGTAAATCATCATCTGGTTCGTTGATAACAGCATCATTGTCTTCGGAATCACCATGATTGCGTTCATTTTCAAAGTCTTGTTGTTGCAATGATTTGGATTTCTTCGATTCGGTTTGTTTAAGACTAAGGGCTGGTTGTATCGGTGCCAAAAGTTGATTGTTTTCCTCGAAACAAACAGACTGTAGGGGAGGAATAGAAAAAGAAAAAGGTTAGCGGTGCTCAAAAAGTAATAAAACTTTTTAAATTTATGAAGGAAAATGGAAGACAATTTCGATTAACAGAAAATTCGTGCAGATTCTGAATGAATGATGTCCACTGTAACTCTTACGAGGGCATTTCGGAAAGTTCTTAGCCTAGAACAGAAAGCGCGGTATAAACAGAAACAGATAAAGAAACAGGTGTTCAAAAAATCCGCTTGGGGAATCTATCGAGACCCCAACAACGGACAAAGACTCAAAGGTCGAAACTGCTCGAGAAGCATCCAATGCGAAGCTCTGTAAACGTACCGTATCGTATCTCCGCAAATTCGTGGGGCGAGATGTGAATTTACTTTCGAAGAGGGAGGTTCATCAAGGGCGAGATGAAATTCGTATGGAAGTTTGAAAGAACTTTCCTGCACAAACAGTTCGATCAAAAATCTCTCTGAATCGAGCAAAGATGTAGAGTCGGCGGAGCCCACTGTCTCTGACAAAGCTGTGAAGCTGACTTCTGATCCGAAGCCTAACTCAAGTCCACAGTCAATGGAAAAGGCTATTGAGCACACCCCGACACAAACTGCCATCCATAAGAGTGATCGACGTGTGGAGGGCTCTGTCTCAAAGCCCGATTTTATGCCAATTTACAAAGGTGAAGGGGTTGGTCGGAATAGAAAGACGGCCAAGTCTGGCAAGAAACCATCGTCTTCTGGAAGTGCGAATACTAGCCCGCAGGACAAATCTGTGAATCGCATTTGCTCATCAGAAGGTCCACAACCTTCACTCAAGAAGACGAAGGCTTCGCGTCTGTTGATTGCGAAACGTTAGAACATGTCAGTACGTAGCCTTTTCAAGCTTCCGAAACCAATTCTTAGGGAATGACACATTTCGCGAAATAACCGACCTTTGGTGGTGTGACAATCAAATCCAAACATGACTAACATGATAGCTATCCAGGTGACTCCTCTTAATCAAGGGGAGTTCTCCTTGTAGTGAAGTCTCGAGACTCCTAAAGCAGTTGGCCGTCGAAGTGGATACGGGGGCTGATGAGCTTCCCATCGTAAAGATGAATAAATCATCAGAACCGGGAACCCCCAAACATGTCATTGCCAAAGAGATCTCTGAACACAAGATTTATCGGAGAGCCGTTAATTTCTGCAACCGGTATATCGGACGGGACTCAATAACAGATAAGAAATTCCAATTAAGAGGATCCTTAAATTAACTCGGAATTTCTCCAGGATCTATCTGAATGTTATTGCGAATGACTTTTTAATTAATAGAATTCCAGCATCACGTGTAAAGTCCACCACGGTAAAGGTTGTAACTTATGCCGATGATGTAGTCTAGCTGGTAAGCGGGAAATTTCTGCCGACTATTTCTGAATTCGTGCAGGGTACCTTATTAACTTTGTCCAACTGGGCCCACGCCAATGGTAATGGCGTAAACCCCACGCAGACAGAAATGGTACTCTTCACTAGGAAACGAAAGATTCCAAATTTCCTTTTTCCATCTTTGGGTGGAGTTACTGCAACCCTTTCCTTAAAAACAAAATAAAATGGTTCAGTCATTGGCCACAAATTAACGTGGATAAGGAATGTTGAGGAACGCACAAAGAAAGGTCTAATAGCACTAAACTCTATAGAAGTACTCTATAGGTAAGAGTTATGGACGACATTAGAGTTTCCTAGTAGGAAATTCTGAGCAAGTGACCGTCTGTCTATATTTATAGGTCCAGTTTCTATATATGTCGATAGTCAGGCGGATCATATGGCGCTCAAGTTGTGCACTATAAACTCAAAAGCGGTTCGTGGCTGTAAATGTGCTCTTCATGATATACGACGGATAGTTAAATTATGTTGGGTTTCAGGACATTTTAACATAGAATGGAATGATATAGGCGATTAGCTTGTTCGTGGGGGTTCGCAGTCGTCGAATCTGTCGATTTCGGAATCTGTACAACCTCCTATTGGTTATTTCATTGGCAAAATCCGTATGAGTTACAGCGAGGTAGTCGGTAATAGATGGTAAACAGAACCTAAATGCAGTATGATAAAAATCATTTTGGGGACTATAACAAGTCACTGCAGGATTAGATCTCTTAATGGGATATTAACGGAGTGGATTATTGCCGTCTGTTCGAGAATCTGCTAGAAACAATTGAACATATACTCTGCAGGTGTCCATCGCTAAGTAGCAGAAGACGCAGACAGTTTGGCAAACATGAAATTGATAAGCAAGGCTTCTCCGAAATAGATCTAAAAGATCCAAGCTTGGTTAAGATTCTGACTTGGCTAAAATAACCAAATTTCTACACTCTTTAAACTTCCTCTATCCCTCTTTTTTCCACTTGCCTTTACTCCTTTCTTTTCAGATATCCAGGATGAGCAAAATGGACAAATGTCTCTGAGTGACCGGCTGCAAATGGCAGCCGTACATCCGTTAACCTAGCCTAAGTGTTCTCATTCTTCACTCACCTGACAATTGGAAATATCATCCCTTTTAACCTTGTTGTTACACTGTTCAGGTTCGCCGAAAATCTCCACATACGAAGTTTCACTTTGGACCCATACATTCTGAATGGGATTTACCAAAGCCTGTTGACCTTGTTGCCCCACGACGGCAGTAGAACGACGACCCAACAGAGACTGGCGATTCTCCAAACCCAAATCATAATCAACAGGATCACCAGGATTAAAAATCGATTCATTATTATTACTTGTCAGACTTTGTAAATCGTTGTCGGAATTTTCCGGGTTACGTTCAACATAATTACGACTTTTATTTGATATGGGTTGAGTTTCCAGGGAATAGTTGGTATGCGGTGCATCAGTATTGACTTTATTCGAATGCGTGTGAGATTGTATCGAACTGGTGGTTGTTGTTGTTGTGGTCGAGGTGGGTGGTGGTACAGTTTTATAGATTATTAAATCTCCACCCCGGGCATTGGTGTGCCGTAAGAGATTCGATTGTGTCGGGGAGGAAATGTGAGGTGCTTCATTTATACTTCTATCGGTTGATGCTCCCACGGAATTTTCGATGTGGAGTTTTTCTATTTCACTTTCATTTGTAGCCGTGGCGGAGGTTCGCTTTTTACTAGAGTTTGATGGAGATTTATGACGATTCGGTGACTGTTGGGAATCAATGTCAATGGAATTATTTTCGAAGTCCTGTTGTACAAAATTGTCATTGGCTATTTTCTCTGTGGAACTTTCACTGGTGTTGTGAGAACCCGAGTTGGAGTTGTCATCATTTGTTGGTACACCATTCAGACTCTTCGCCGATGGTAAGGCATTACGATGGGTGGCCGCTTGCATTACCCTCAGTACCATTTGTGGTTGGGGCCATTTGTGTTTGTGCTTGCTAATTATGGTTTTATTGGTTCTCAGCACGGGACCAGTGGTACTTCGTGATTGCTCTTGATAGGTGGTGGGCAGTAGCTCCGATTGACCCATATATGGTTTATCCATAACCACTGTAATTCCATCTGTTGCAGCGGTGCCGGTTTGAGATGATGACGAAGAGGAAGATGATGAGGGTGGTAGGAGCATATCTTCATAAATTAGTTCACTTTCACCTATAGCAGCTTCTCCTGCATCACCCCCACCACCACCACCAGTACCACCTATTCCTCGATATGGCATTGTACCATTTTGGCTAAGAGATCTGGAATATCCTGCCACCGATGAGAGATTGGGTAATGCCGGCCACAGACTATGGGTGCGATTATATTTCAGACTATGCTGTCGTATGAAATCATGTTCCTGCTCCGTCAGAGACCCACCGCCATGGCCATAGAAGTGACCATTGCTTAGCAATTGTATTCTATCTAATTCACTTAAATTGTGTTGTTTCTTATTGTGCTCTACGAAGTATAAGGTGGAAACGGCGGCCAAACTGGAAGAGAAGAAAAAAATTAGAAAAAATCGATATTTTATGTCCCGATCCAATACTCACCACGCCGCCATAACTATAACTAACAGAAATATAATAATCTGCAATGTGCGATTCGAACAGATTTCATAGCCATCTCTGGAGCTGCGACCCGCCGATCCACCTCCCACCATTGTCTTGCAATGCATAAATTGCAGCTCGTTTTCCTTGGCCCGCTGCAGACGATGATTGACCCTTTCCAAGTTCTCTATGCGCGTCTCCAAGGTACCCGTTACCTTACACAGCTCCTTGACAGCTCCAATATTCTCCATAAGTATACGATCCTTGTTGACCAATAGGAAATTTTCAATAACATTGCCATTTGGCAGGACAACACTGCCAGCCTCTTGTACAGCATCTGGTATAACTTCACGCACCTCCTGTGCAATAACTCCCGTATCGACAATATCCTCCTCATCCTTATGCGATTTCAGGCCCGAATGCAGAGCAAATTGTGGTTCGAGACGATAGCGTACAATTCGTATCTTTTGTAAATTCCGCAATTGTACCGATGTATCCAATTCACCGATTTCCTGTTTAGCACGACTATCACTGGGTTGGACAATGTGACCGGATATTTTCAGATTACCATGTACAACGAGACTTTCATCGGGACGATCTGTGTTGATACCCACTCGGCCGGCATGGAAAATGGAATCTTGAGTTAGACCTCGCTGCCAACAGAGATCAACATCGGATTCAAATTGTCCCGGATTTGAGGCCCGTACAATAATTTTATCACTTCCCTGTGCTATCACGGGAAAGTCGCCGGACGCTGTGTGGACATGGAGTCCAACAACTAGCTGGAAATAGCGTTGTTCCGGATTCGGACGTCCTTTTTTGCGCATATTATTATTTGTCGTCTCCGAGAAATGTAAACGGCCCACAGTCACCTTGCTCACTATGTGACTCTGGAGATCGATACTGAAAGGGGAAAGAAACATGGGAGGAATTAGAAATAAGAATGCATTTTGTTCAAGTCCTCTCAAGGCGTGGATTTTTTAAAATAATTCTTTCCAAGGCCAAACAAGGCGTGGATTTTTTAAAATAATTCTTTCCAAGGCCAAACAAGGCGTGGATTTTTTAAAATAATTCTTTCCAAGGCCAAACAAGGCGTGGATTTTTTAAAATAATTCTTTCCAAGGCCAAACAAGGCGTGGATTTTTTAAAATAATTCTTTCCAAGGCCAAACAAGGCGTGGATTTTTTAAAATAATTCTTTCCAAGGCCAAACAAGGCGTGGATTTTTTAAAATAATTCTTTCCAAGGCCAAACAAGGCGTGGATTTTTTAAAATAATTCTTTCCAAGGCCAAACAAGGCGTGGATTTTTTAAAATAATTCTTTCTTTTTAAAGAATATTTTTTCAAGTCTCCACAAGGCTTGGAATTTTTAAAGAATATTTTTTTTAAGTCTCCACAAGGCGTGGATTTTTTAAAGAATGTTTTTCAAGTCTCCGGAATAACAAAATTTAATGTACTTACGGTACTGGATAGAATGGTTTCTTCGAGCGGTCCGATTGACTCTGTTCGATGCGTATCGTCTGATTCGGGGCCTCCAGCTTCACCCCGTAGAAATGTAAATGAAATGATTTGATTTTCTCTAGACCCGATGGCGTTTTAACAAATTTCGCCTCACTTTGTAGGCGAGCATGGCAAGTTATCTGGAAATGATTCTTTTTCTGACACACAAAGGCATCATCGGATACGGAAAAGTTGAAACCTTTATCGGCATCGACCCGGTAATATACCACCGAGATCTCTTGTAGATTTTGATCGCACAACTCATGCCAATTTTGTGGTTGAAATGGCGTGAAACGTATACACGGACTGAGGGCATCAGAGGTGGAACCATCCGCCGCCTTAACACTACCATCCATATTGACGCTAGACAAGGCCGGAGATAGAGAGGCGGTGGAGTGGGCCGGTGTATCTGTTATATCGTGCGTGGTGTTCAGTTGTATATTAAGTGGTGAGGTGGCGCTACGTTTTGGTACTTCTCCCGGCAGTGGTGTGGCACACACAGAACTACGCGAGGGACTTAACATTAGACCTGGATCGGGTTTAACGCAGGGAAAGTCAACACCATCGATTTGGGTGGGCATCTTTCGTTTACGAGAGGAGGATTGATGATTGGGTGTTGAGGGAGCACTGGAGCGGCTTAGTTGGGGAGTGGATGGAATGCTACCGGTTACAGTGCCCACCACCTGGACATGTGGCAGATCGCCAATGGCGGTAAGCATACCTTGTGTCAGATCATTGGGGTCCACCATTTGTGACAAGCTCAGTTGATAGGAAGGTGGTGGCGGTGGTGGGGGATTAGGAAGGCCATGGCTCAGACTGTCGTACATTAGGTGATTGGAATGACCGATGTTGTTGTTGCTGGTGTGGCTGTTATTTGGACTAAGGGTGTGGGTGGTATTACTATTGGCATGAGAGTAAAGAAGTTGCTGCGCTGCCCCACCTTGGGCGCCATTCATCTCAATGTGAGTATCTGGTGATTGATGGTGGTGGTGCTGCTGCTGTTGTTGTTGCTGCTGCTGGTGGTGATGACTATTAAGTGTTTGTTGTAAACTATTCGGATTTATAATAAGTCCCGCCTCATGTTTCACTCTCACCTCCGTCATCGACGAGTCTTGTGTTGGGCCCATTGTTGTCAGTCCATTTAAATTCATTTGATGATTATCCATAATATGGACATAGTGATGCGGATGATTTGTATCATGTGTTTGATTTTGAGACTGAAGATGATGTTGTTGTTGTTGTTGTGGCTGATGCTGCTGCGAATGGACACCAGACACCATTGTGGTGACATTTGTTCCATTACTATTGGAATTGAAAAGATCTCTGGTCGACATACCGGCTGTTAACCCCGTTACATCTTGAAGCGGGCTATATGGTGGCTCCGATCCCGAGTCAGGTGGACTCTCCGGCAGCTGGGTATGTGTGAGATTTCTGGTGCTATTATTCGAATTGGAATTGCCATGTATTCCAATGTGTGGTGTCGACGATAGACCCACTCGAGCCGAAACTGTGGGTATGGGTGGTAGAATTAAATCCGAACCAATTGAGGCCAACGATGTGGGTGATGTAACAGGTGTTTCAGTTTTGGCACTACACAGCAGGTTCGATGTATTGGCCACACCACCACCGCTGCCGCAACCATTCAGCTGGGAGGAATGGCTCAAGTTTTGCCGCTCTCCTCCATTGCCGCCAATGCGTCCAAGGCTATTCGATGTTACATGTAAATCTTCAAAAAATATGGCTTCATTATCGATGCCGCCCACATAATCCGCTCGATCTGTAATTATAAGGAAGTAGGAAATGGAAAAAAATTAATAAAAATTATCGGAAGGGATGTTGAAGATGAAAATAAATTTTAAAAAGAAGACCCTGGGGATGGATTTATAGGCGTGGATTTTTTAAAGAATATTTTTTTCAATGCCAAAACAAGGCGTGGATTTTTAAAGAATATTTTTTCCAAGGCCACAACAAGGCGTGGATTTTTTAAAGAATATTTTTTTCAAGGCCACAACAAGGCGTGGATTTTTTAAAGAATATTTTTTCCAAGGCCACAACAAGGCGTGGATTTTTTAAAGAATATTTTTTCCAAGGCCAAAACAAGGCCTGGATTTTTTAAAGAATGTTTTTCCAAGGCCAAAACAAGGCGTGGCATTTTTAAAGAATATTATTTCCAAGGCCAAAACAAGGCGTGGATTTTTTAAAGAATATTTTTTCCAAGGCCACACAAGGCGTGGATTTTTTAAAGAATATTTTTTCCAAGGCCACAACAAGGCGTGGATTTTTTAAAGAATATTATTTCCAAGGCCACAACAAGGCGTGGATTTTTTAAAGAATATTTTTTCCAAGGCCACAACAAGGCGTGGAATTTTAAAAGAATATTTTTTCCAAAGCCAAACAAGGCGTGGATTTTTTAAAGAATATTTTTTCCAAGGCCATAACAAGGCGTGGATTTTTTAAAGAATATTTTTTCCAAGGCCATAACAAGGCTTGGATTTTTTAAAGAATATATTTTCCAAGGCCAAAACAAGGCGTGGATTTTTTAAAGAATATTTTTTCCAAGGCCACACAAGGCGTGGATTTTTTAAAGAATATTTTTTCCCAAGCCTAAACAAGGCGTGGATTTTTTAAGGAATATTTTTTCCAAGGACAAAACAAGGGGTGGATTTTTTAAAGAATATTTTTTCCAAGGCCAAAACAAGGCGTGGATTTTTTAAAGAATATTTTTTCCAAGGCCAAAACAAGGGGTGGATTTTTTAAAGAATATTTTTTCCAAGGCCACGACAAGACGTGGATTTTTTAAGGATTTTTTTCAAGGCCCAAACAAGGCGTGAAATGTTTAAGGATTTTTTTTCAAGGCCCAAACAAGGCGTAAAATTTTTTAAGGATTTTTTTTCAAGGCCCAAACAAGGCTTGGAATTTTTTAAGGATTTTTTTCAAGGTCCAAACAAGGCGTGACATTTTTTAAGGATTTTTTTTCAAGGCCAAAACAAGGCGTGGAATTTTGAAAGAATATTTTTTCCAAGGCCAAAATAAGGCGTGGATTTTTTATAGAATTTTTTTTTGCAGTCACCAACACAGGATTGGATTTTTAACGAATATTTTTTTCAGAGACAAACACATTCTTCAAAAAATCCACTTCTTGTGAGGCATTGAAAAAATATTCTTCAAAAAATCCACTTCTTGTGAGGCATTGAAAAAATATTCTTCAAAAAATCCACGCCTTGATAGGCATTGAAAAAATATTCTTCAAAAAATCCACTTCTTGTGAGGCATTGAAAAAATATTCTTCAAAAAATCCACTTCTTGTGAGGCATTGACAAAATATTCTTAAAAAAATCCACTTCTTGTAAGGCATTGAAAAAATATTCTTCAAAAAATCCATTTCTTGCGAGGCATTAAAAAAATATTCTTCAAAAAATCCACTTTTTTGTGAGGCATTGAAGAAATATTCTTGAAAAAATCCACTTCTTGTGAGGCACTGAAAAAATATTCTTCAAAAAATCCACTTCTTGTGAGGCATTGAAGAAGTATTCTTCAAAAAATCCACTTCCTGTGAGGCATTGAAAAAATATTCTTCAAAAAATCCACTTCTTTGAGGAGCCATGAAAAAGTATTCTTTAAAAATCAACGCCTTGTTGGCCCATGAAAACATATTCTTAAAATAATTCTCGCCTTGGTGGCCCCTGAAAATATATTCTTTTAAAAATCCACGCCTCGTTGGCCCCGTAAAAAATATTCTTTACAAAAATCCTCGCCTTGATAGGTCCTTTGTCCTGATTTCGCACTTTTACCCACTTTTTATTTTATTTTCTGTTCCATGTTCCACTTTCACATAACGACATGCCAAACGAATTATATTTCGAATTGTAAATGATTCAAATAAACAACAACAATTCATATTATATATTGATATTGATTATTTATTTGTTATTATTTGGAGCACTGGAACACAACACTACAACATCATGTTTTTGAGGTGTTCACGAATAAACTGTTAATACCTTTTTGTGGCAACAACTTTGGGAGTTGTACAAAAGTAGGAAAATAAAACAAATCGGAATGTGCGTTTTTTAATTACAACCAAAAAATAACTACAACAAAATAATTTTTTTCCTAACTCCCAAAAAAATCCGGAAGAAAATGCTTGAAATAAGTTAGTGAGTGTTCACACACATACACAACGAAATTTGTTCATTGGATGATAACAACAATTTTGAAAAATTGCAAAAATAATAAAAAAAAACAATAACAAAAATTTTATAAAAACATTATCTTTCCGAAATATTGAAATGTGCCACACTTTTTTTCGCCACATGCAGATTGAAGGTCACTGCTCCTTGGAATTTGGAATTCGAAACAGATTTGGGGATTTTCGAACCTTAAATCTTAAGGGATTTCTAATAAAAATCAACTCTTCACATTATCGACTTACTGACCTATTTCCACATCTATGAAATATATTGTTTAATTTTCAATTCATGATTTTATTTTTCAAATAATGCCATAATTTTTTTATAGCTCCCATTCCATTGGCTGCCACTGTCGCTTTGTCTGATATTGAACTGTGTTTGCGACTTGTCGTCACAAAATAAAAAAAAAAAAATCTGAAAACAGAGGGCGTGTAGGAAATGTAATTTTTCCACAATTTCAACGAACGACCGATACCAATATCATGACAATGTTTCTTTGCCATTCTTCTTCTTCTTCTGGCATTCCTACACTGACTGCTCTCAAATTTGCCGGAATGATAAGAATGGCGAACAATGAACGATTCGATTGTGATGGATGAATTGCCGGGCCAAATATTTCATTATTATTATTAAATCTTTCATAAAGCAATATTTTGATGTATTGTTTGATCAATAAATAAATATTTATAACACATAAATATTAAAAACAACAATAGTAATAAAAATATTATAACAATTTTATTTTCAAAAATCCACACCTTATATATGGATCTAGAAAAATATGGGGTCAATTCTTGAAAACCATATTTTTGGTTACTTTTCAATTAAAAAACTTAATTAAAAACCGGTGAGCTGAACAGTAAAGTCGAACGGGGCCGACCATTTTATACTCTATACAACTCCCACTGATTTAAGCGGATCTAATAAATATCGGGGCTGCGATATTTGCAATCTTTTGACCGATTAGAGCTCCTCAGCGGATTTTTCCCGAAGTAAAAAATTATTTAATAGGGTTAAATTTATTTTACAAAAACAAAAAAGTTTTGGTTCATTTGACCCGCTAAATAACCTCATGTTAAATCCCATAGCCATCAGCTCAAAAAATTATGGTCTCTAATGTGTTAATGGTGATACTAAACTTAAGTAAAACTCCCACATCCGAGTAGATAGAATAATATTGTCATCAGTTTAAAGGTTAACCACTCCTTTTTGGGTGCTATCAACTTTTCGGGTCTATGTTCTACAGGAGTAAATATATATATATATATATATATATAAAAACCTGGGTTTATTTGACCCGCAAAATGTTGACCGATCTTCATAAAAACAGTTATGCCTATGGTCAGACCACTTTCTCTGCGTAAAATTTACGGTTTTTCGGTCTATAAAGACCTGAAAATAAAGTTTTTGGTCAGTTTAATCCACCAAATTATTATCTATCATTATTAAAAACAATATGGGTATTGTTAGTCCAGGTCCTGTCCTACAGAAAAATTTTGTCGCGATTGGTCAATAACTGTGGCCTGTAGCGTACTTACAAATTATAATGGAGAAAAGGACAAAGAGACGGAAGAACACACATGTCATACATATTATATTTTACAAATTAGTTGACTTATTCATGGGTTCTGAAAAAAAACTGTAAAAATAGTTTTTAAAATAACCACACACATCAGCATTCACCACTGTCTGGCGTGAAGGATTCCTACTGGGGAGTGCTTTGAATACATGTAACAGCGTTACCTATTATCCGACGGGGCGTATGTTGCAAATCATTAGATAAACCAGTAAGGAAAGTAGTAAAGTCGGACGGGGCCGACTATATTATACCCTTCACCACTATGGGTATATTAAACAGAACAATTAACATGAAATTGGATGAACTAAAATATGTGATATTTATCGAAATGTGAAAATCGGACGAAAATATATATGGGAGCTATATCTAAATCTGGACCGATTTTCACGAAACTTTGCAGACATCACTCTAAGCTCAATTCAGTACGTTATGCCAAATTTCGTGCAAATCGAAAGATATTTAGGGACTTTGGTGCACCATTTACATAAAATCGGACGAAAAGATATATGTGAGCTATATCTAAATCTGGACCGATTTTCACGAAATTTAGTAGTCATCACTCTAGGCTCAATTCAGTACGTTATGTCAAGTTTCGGGCAAATCGAAAGATATATAGGGACTTTGGTGCACCATTTAAATAAAATCGGACGAAACTATATATGGGAGCTATATCTAAATCTGGACCGATTTTCACGAAACTTGGCAGACATCACTCTAAGCTCAATTCAGTACGTTATGCCAAATTTCGTGCAAATCGAAAGATATTTAGGGACTTTGGTGGACCATTTACATAAAATCGGACGAAAATATATATGGGAGCTATATCTAAATCTGGACCGATTTTCACGAAACTTGGCAGACATCACTCTAAGCTCAATTCAGTACGTTATGCCAAATTTCGTGCAAATCGTACGATATATAGGGACTTTGGTGGACCATTTACCTTAAATCGGACGAAACTATATATGGGAGCTATATCTAAATCTCGACCGATTTTTCCCAATTTCA